CTCCCCGCTCTGTCTCTGGTGAATCCTCTCACCCTCCGCATCTCTGGCCTGTACCCCAGTTCTATATGAATAAATAAATAAATCTTAAAAAAAAATTACAACAGTATTAAATGTTCACTGTAGAATATCTGAAAATAGCAAAAAACTATTATTTTTTTCCATCTAGCATGGTGTGAACATGCAACATGACATAGTTTAACCAACTTCCTGCTGGTTGGCAATTTTTTTTTTGGGGGGGTTGGCCATTTTAAAAGCAATCTGAGTACACCAGAAATTCTTCAGTATAGAGTCCTAGAAATGGAATTGTTAGATAAAAAGGAACACACAGTTCAAAGACTTATGATTGTGAAACAGACATCCAAAAACAAGAGAAATTTGTTCTTGTAGTAGTAGTGCATCCTTTTCCCAATTATAATTTAAAAATTCCACTGTGATGCACAATAAGGAGTTAATCTGCTGAAACTTCATTTTGCAGGTTCTCCCTGTAGAGCAGATAGCTGCTCAATGGTGATCAGAGAGCAACTTCTTTACCGCAACCCAGAAAATGCCAAGGAAACACATGGATGGCCTTTCTCCAAACTTTGAAGGATGCAGTACACATTCCCTCTCAACCAGTCCAAGTCCCAAAACTCAACCAGCCAGACTTTGTGTTCACTGTAAATGAGTGAGTATGCTACCAAGAGGATGCCCTCAATCTCCACAATTAATGTAACCGCTAACCCTTCAGTGGCACGAGCATCCAACCAGAAAGTACAGGAGCATCCTTCTGTATCTATTCCTATATAAAGAGGATTCCAAATTCATTTTCATTATAATATATAACCTTTCATTATAAACACCAAAGGACAGGCACACTCCTGCTCCGGCACCTGATATGGGGCTGAAGCTCAAAGTACATCACATGTAATACATTAACATCAAGGTGAGGACTAGGGACTCAACACAACCACCTGGATTTTAGACCTGGAAGCCAGGGAGGAAAACAGATGGCCAAATTTAGAACTCATATATGAAATACCCCATTGCCACATATCTGTGCTCCCCAGTGATACTTACACAATCTTCCTGTTGTCAGGGTAACCTGGTCCCTGACATAAGGAGACCCCTGCAAGAAACAAAACAACTCTTAAGAACCCTTATCTTATACAGGATACCTGTTAGGGATGGAAAACAATCTGTTCACCTCCTAACTTTGAGATAAAGCAGGAGAAACTATAGACTACAATAAAATCTTTATCACAGAGTTCTAGATTTCAAACTTTTCCACCAAACGACGAGGCCATAGAGCAAGAGGTATGTGGGGTCAAAAGTGGGTATCTATTTAAGGGGAGAATTTTAAGGACATAGCTTGAAGTTTTAGATTATTACTTACCATAAAATGTATAAACATATTATTATCCCTAATATGTTCTACTAATAAGTGTCACCATATCCCCCAAGTCTGGAAATACAGTTGAAACTTGGAAAGACACGTGATGGTCTATCATGTGACTACACATGGCCTACTCTGAGAAGTAGGGGGATGTTTGGTCTAGGTTTGTTTCCGTGGTTACTTTAATGCACCAGGCTGAGAGTCTTATCATCTAAACCCTTGTAGCAAAACTGGGCCACTCTGGGCCACAGGTCCCAGCTTATCCTATACTGCACAAATCATTATCTCACCTTTCATTTTATTGTCTTCCCAAGATCTTGCAAAGTCTTCTACTATGATCACAAGGTAGAAGGCCCATTTTATCCCACTATCTGTGTTCCCCTTACCATAGATAACTTCATCTCCCTAACTGACGGTTTATCACTACAGCTATCTCACCTGAACATAGTATTTCATGTCTTTCTTCCCATCTACTAACTCCTTTTGAACCCTGGGCTCAGAAGACACCAAAATGGGAGACAGTTCCTTCTAGTGACCATCTCCTTATAAACATCTCCAGGCCTCAAAGTCAAGCAAGACACCTCCATATCCAGCAGCTAATGAGTCTGCAGTACAAATAGGCCAGCAGCACATGCTGATTTTTGAAACCATGAGTCCAGTTTAGAGTTCATTTACAGTAAGTTTCATCTGTACAGTACCTTACGATCTATAATCAGCTTTCACACAATGACCTCATTTTGATTTTTGTGTCTCACAACTCTGCAACTAGAGCAACCATCTGCCATTATTTCTATTTTATATATAAGTAGGGCTTGCAGAGATTAAGTAACTAGCCCAACATAAAGCACCAAGTTTCAATGCAAACCCCAATTGTGAGGTTCTTTCCATTGTCCTGTCAGTCATTTTAAAGTAGAGAAAATACTAGCTGATATTCTGGGGGGTTTACAGTAAAAATGACATTATTATTATTGATGCATTAGGACCATGCTAGATACCTATGTTTTCTTGACTTTTGTAATAGTCTGAAAACTTTCCTCCTTCCTGTGTTTCTGGTCCTATCTGTCCAGCCAGACAGAATTCCTTTCCACTTCTGTAACAAGTCAACTCCCCTCCTGCCTGAAAATCTTTGCACAAGGATTTCCCTTTGCCTGGAATATTGGCTAGCTTCTATATATTCTTCAAGTCTTGGCTTAAATGTCACTTCTTCAGGGAAGCCTTTCCTGACATTCCCATAGTGCTCTGCACCCTCCCCAGATAAGCTATCATCTCATTACAACTTGCCCTGTCAAAGTAATCACAATGTAATTAAGTTCCTATGCATAGAGAAATGTGTACTGTCTCTCCAGTAGCCCTTAAGATTCTTGAGGGTAGAGACCATCAATGTCCAGGTCACATAGCACAGTGCTTCTTATGTACAAGACCTCAATAAATGATCTGTTGAGTATATAAGAAATGATAATAGGCTGCATTGTCAGGTAGACCTGGCCTGACCAACAGTTGGCTGACCTTCACCAAGGCTTTGACCTCTCTTAGCATTGTATTGTGCATTTATAAAATAGAGTACCTCTGTTTCCTGATGAATTTTCTTGGAGATGTACAGAAAGTATTCTGAATAATAATGCTTGGTATGCAGAAAACCCACAATAAGATCAGCTCATTCAACAAATATTTAGCCAGGCTTTTAAAAAATTACAGAAGATCCAAACTTCTTCAAACGATCCCCATACATCTACTACCACACATGCCAGTCTTTTCCTAAACCAACAGGCTCCAGCCAAATCACCTTCTGACCAGTGCTGAAACACTAACAAGCTCTTTCCCTTCTCAGAGACTATGTCCATGCTATTCTTTTCCTTCAGCTCTTCTCTGGGTTGCCGGGTTGCCCTCTGCCACAACCTCCAAGTCACAGCTTTACTATCACCTACTGGAGAGGCTTCTTTTGCCACCTTCAGGTGTTCCCTCTCAACACTTAACCAAAATGTATGACTGCTCACTTACTTAAGATGCACTTTCATTTTCACTAGACTGTAAGCTCCTGAGGGCAAAAATTACTAACTGCTGCACACTTAGTGTATGCCCAGCATAGAGCCTGAAGCACAAGAGAAACTCAGTGACTATATGCTAATGAAAAAATGACAGCTGCCATTAAACAGCACTGGGTTGCACTATCTATCTGAGAAAGGCACCCCCATTCCTCACATACTGCTCTGCCCAGGAGGAGAGCATTTTAGGTGACCGCAAGGGCAGAACTTACCAGGCAGGGAACGTCTCCCTAGAGGGCAGTTCCCCTGTTGAGAAAGAAGACATTATCGACGTCACCCAAGATGAAAAGTGGGAAAAAACAGCCTTTTTTCCTTTGAGTACAGACTCAAAGCTGTCGCGGCGCTGGTGACAGATAAACCTCAAGACTCCGAAATGCAACTGTAACAGCCAGAGCGCTCGGTCCCAATCAGCACAACGGGCCTGCTGAACTATCTCAACTTCCCAAAGGGACCGAGACCCGCTGACTAACAGGAGCGAGGGAGCCCGTGGGGGACTCCGCGGCGCCTCCTCCCAAATTCAGTCTCGTGTCGGGCGGGCGCGGCTCTGGGCGGCTCCTCAGCCCGGCGCGGAGGGTGGGGTCCGACAGGGGAC